CTTAAAGAATGTATGGTCTTCTCTGTAGAAGACCATATAGAACGCTTCGACTTCTTCTTCGTCACAGTTTGATGTCTGTGCGTAGACGACCAAGATTGGGAAAGTCGGTATTGATCCACATCTATTTAATTGTAAACGCCCGATTCGGGTTGTAAGTTGTTCGAATGAATCGGTGTTCATGGACAAACTCGTGTTGACGAGAACGCCGACGCCGCCGACTTCTCTATTGTCGCATGTTCCTAGGAACAGTTCCTCTCCGGCGTCATAGACGGCGTTGAATGCGTGGCGTCGTCTCCTGTCGACTAGGCCGATGACATTGTTCCTTATCTTTCTCGCTTGCATAATCAGGTTTTCTAACGAGAATTCGGATACAAGTGTATGCGCATTGTAGGTACGGATAGTCACTTCAGTCGTTTGAGATTAAGGAGTTTAGAATGGCCTTAAAATTTTGGCAGATTCCTCGCATACGTTCTACCTCACGCTGTCGAATCTGGGACTGTTTTTGGATCATCGGAATGAGGCCTGTTTCTTTTACTGCGTGTTTACTGCACTGCCAGAGTGGATATAGAACTTATTTGTTCGATACAGCTCCTAACCGCCTCCCATATTCTTCGCTGTCACTTGATCAGCGAGTCCACTCCCTGGATCCACCTGCGTCTCAAGGAAGCAAAGTCGCTTTTGATCCGCAATTAACCTCCTATCCGTCACTTAGGGACGCGCCACCTAGCCTCGCGACTAATGTGCCCGAAATCTCTCATATGAGGGAGATCCGTGGTCGGTACGCGCCACCATGCTCGAATAAAAGCACCACCGTGAATGACAATTGTGTGAGAGCAACTCGTGAACTCTGGCCGTTTATGTATCCAAGTAAGGAAGGAATTGTTTTTTGTGAGTTTGTTTCTGCTTTTTCATTTACGATCCGTGTTGAGTCCACCATAACTGCCAAGGAGTACTACTGCTAAACATCAATTGTTTTGCGGTACAAGCTGTTTTCTCTTTGTGTTTGTCTATTTTCGCAAAGAGAATAATATCCATGAACATATACGTGCACAGAGACATTGACACCAGTGCAGATAGCAGTCTTTGTTACATTCGATATTGAAACGTCGCAGTGAGCGAATTGTCATGATTATTCATGAGATGAGCAAAAACTGTTTGGCACAGTGTCACATTGTAATCTTATGTGTGATGACGTGCGCGTTCTTAAATTCGTTGAGGCTCTAGTTCGGCCATCCGGAGCAAAGCAACCGCCAACTTGAACAATCCTTCTGTAGTGTTTTTTATAATCGCCCTTTACGCCATTATTTCTTCTTAAACAGCCTTTGTGTTTTACTTCAGCGTGCATAGTGTGGAGTTTTTTTTTCAGTCCAAATTTTTGTTGTTACTGTATTTTTTTACTCATTGACCCTCAAGCTATACGTGGTTCTCGTCTTTCTGCTTCTCATTTCTCTCCAGTGAATTGACTGAATGCCTTAGTCGGTTATATTTTAGACGACAGAGTTAATTTCTACTTTTATGTCAATACGTTACCGTCCTAACATATCGAGGAGATGTTACCATGAGAGGTGTGGAATCGCGATGTAGTTTAACAGCAGGCGGTTAATGTCCTGGCTTTGTTACGCGCACTGAAAAAGAGTTTAACATTTCCACCAAAATTTTCGGCTAAAATGAAGCTGCCCTAATAATCGCCGCCGTCTATGAGAGGATGTTTTCGTAACGCTTCAGGCGTCTTCCGACCCGTGAACTCGGGAGTTGGTGTTGGTGAGAAAATGGGAACACATTGACACAGACATTTAGGAATTTCGACCAGTAATAAAGTGCTAAGGCAGTCAAGTAATGCTTATATTGAAACTATTCTCTTTGATGAGCACGAACACGGCCAGATATCCCCGTTCAAAGTATGGGTCAAGTTTTTTTCTTGTTTTCTTTCTCATAACATGTTGCTGACGTTGCTTAATGATGCTAGTGATCTTATTTTGAAACGACGAAGTACTCACGTCCCCACGTATGCTGTTTCGAGCCTCGCGGCAAGACAGAAATTTCTGTAATTCATCTCAGGACTAGCCAGAATTCAACTAAAATAATGCTGAGATATTTGCAAAACCCCGGACCGCAGGTATCAGCGATTGGGATCGAACCCACTACTGCCCTTTCAGGGATATAATTACTTTAGCTGTACTACCATACTGATTCGAAAAAAAAGAACCTGAATTTAATGGTAGTTTACAGAAGAGTCGGTCGGCAACTCCGCTTTTGTTCCTGCATCATATATCTATTTATATTCTTTATTTGTTTATCGCTATCGTTTTCATCCTTACCCGGTGTGTAGTACTGTGGTGCGTTTGAAAACGAACTACTCGAATGAAATCGAAAAAACACATTGATTTCACCTAAACAATTGGTTTTCTAACACTTCAACAACTAAAGTGAAATTAAAATAGACGCCTCATTGGTTTTGTGGATAGCACATAAGCCTCCGAAAAGGAAAATCGGGTGCTCGAACACCAAGTGAGGTTGCCAGTTTTGCTCATACCTCAGCATCTTTTGGTTGAATTTGACATAATACCCAGCCATGAAAAAAAGAATAAGCAATGGACAAGGTGTAAAATGAGTAAATTATTGATATTATTACGATTAGTTAGTATCTTGGCGATTTCTTCATTAGAACAAGTAACAAGAAGGTAGTTGTCTAGGGAAATAATCAGTTTTCGTAGTCTCGTAATCCTAGATGTATTGTGTTTTTAACTATTACTTGGATTACAATTTCGACTTTTTAAACTCAACCACAATGATGCTAAGATATTTTCAAAATTCCGGACCGCAAGTGTCTGCGGTGGGGAACGTACGCGTTATTGTCCTTTCCGGGGAGTAACGCGTTCACCACCACACCATGCGACTCCTTCGTTTCGCCTGTATCTCAGCTAGTTCCATTATTTCGATTTCCGATGTGGTGTTTTCAGTGACATTTTAGTTTCTCAGTGGCCCTTTCTTTCGTTGTACGTTTTGACTTCTTAGTGAGACTGAAGATGAACAACGTAATGGGACACATTTAAAAAGTTTCATATCGTTGTTCATAACTCTTCTTAAGCTACGTTAAAGTCTTGAAGAGCTGTAATGTTGTCTTTTAGAGAATGAAGATAATATGTTAGAAAATTCCAATGTTATCAACCAGCTGACAGGTAATCCCCGGTTTCTGGATGTGGGTTAGCAGTGATGCACTCAGCTAAGCGAAATATCAAATGTCTCGTTTTCTTTGATATTGCCGCCTTCCTAAAGCTTCAGACGCGAATTGCGAGATTCCTGTTCGTCTCCACGCTGTTCAACTTTGCCGCACACAGCTTTATCGCTTTTATGAGAATTTCAGAACCTTACGGTCGAGAAAGAGTTTAACATTTCCATCAAATTTTATTTTCTTAATTCACTCGTAATCAATTTTCATCACTTCTGTAAATTTTGGAGCCTTGAAATCGTAATATCCCTTTCTGAGTTGGCACAGGGTTGTTATTACGCTTTTCTGAGTGGTTGATTTAGGTTTTTAGGTTTCTTGTAAAGAGGTTAATCGAAGACCGTTCTTTCGAGTTCTAAAATCGTTCGCATAATCGTTGAACAAACTATCAATGTTTGAGGTGCAATGGTGTGCTCCCAAGTAGAGAGGAGAATTTTCTACCTTTAGGTCTTTTCTCTGTAATAAGTAATCTTCATTACTATTTTTTCTTCGAGGATAATCTTTAGTGTAACTCTGAAAACCATAGATTTGTGCTTCAGTTAGGTCAGCGAAGCTGAAAAGCAAATCGAAAGCTTTGTTTCTGTTTTGTTTTTGTTCTATCTCGATGATATGGAAGTCCTCATTTCCCTTTTTAATCTTAAACTTTTTATCTTGATAATCGACAAAATCTCTTGCATTTAAATCCTTGCTTTGCATGAAATGGGTTCTCTCCCGAAGGTACATTTTTTTGTCAATTGTCAACTGGCAAATCCATTTTCTTTCGGCACTATGAATTCTCAAGGGTACCATTAGGGTACCAAACTTCCAACTGGGTCTGGCAAGCATTCCGACATAAATTTCCCATCCAAATCCTACAAATTTGAAACCTTCCTCCTGCTTATATTTCAGTAGCCATTCTCCTTAATGTCGAAGTTCACGTAGTGCATTCATGTTTGAAGGCTCCACAACTTCATAATCTTGCATTTATCCAAGCAAAGCTCACTTAACTATCCAAAAAGCGCTATATTTTTGCACTTCAACTGAAGAGCCCAGTCGAATAAAATCAAAAAATTCATGACCGCTGCCTGCTGAATCCACAAAGGTTTTCTGTATCGAAGTGAATGACGTACTTTTATGAGAAGATTGGAGATTAGCGCTGGTTGAGTAGTGTCAAATTTCAGAATCATTATCCCCATTTCCAAAACCTCATCGAGCCATATAGACGACCTCTCGTTAAAGAAAAGATCTCAAGATTTAGAGCTATTCCGCATTCAGAAATGTGTAACATTCATCTTTTGAGGCTGTTCAGTGGTCAGTGGTGAATATCATTGCAATCTTTCACGTTTTTCTATCGTGATAGTTGTAGTAAACAATTATGATTTTATTGATAGCAGAAACTCTTTTTTAGTTATCATGATTTCGACATCATTAGACGGTGCTTCCTTTTTCAGTTTATTCTTTCTCTTCTCCTTCTCACATACACATGCACATGCAGATACAAATGCACATACACAAACACATACACACATACACATACACATACACACGTACACACACACACACATACACATATACATACACATACACATACACTTACACCTAGTCTCATTTGCTTCACTTTCGTGTACGTTCTTCGTTGGTTAAGATGTAAATTTTGTATCGCCGATAAACAATCGAACACTAATCTCACTATCTGTGCTACCGCACTACTGAATTCCTAGTCTAGAACCGGTGCTATGCGGTGAAAACGCCTTCAAAGGGTTCCAATGTGCGTCGTCGTCTTGTGGTGCTCAGCATGAACCGCGCCTTGTTTGTCTGCGTCTCTGTCATTTTCACGATCTCTGCTCGGGTGTCTGCTTCTCTCAGACTTAGCCCTCGTGAGCTGCGCATGGTACAAAAAGGTGAAGTAAAACTGGAGATTTTGTATCATATTTATTGATGTAGGCACGTTCCATAATAGGTGTTTGACGACAATATAGAATTTACTAGGCTATGCGCAGACACCATATCAAATAGAATTACTATTCTCAGGTTTCCTCCGTCGGTTTGGCTTTTCGAGTGTCCCTAATCTTTCGGGCCCTATGCTTCCGATACCGGATCACGTTTGGGAGATCTATCAAAAGGCAACGGAGGATGATGATATGGACTGGATACGCCATTACTATCCGAAGGTTTTTGCAAACTTGTCATCTCAACGGTTCCGATTTTTAGCCCTTCTCAATAATACTATGAGACTGGAATTTTTGCAAAATCCAGATCCCCAGATTTAGACCCCAGGCCATACTCATTAAGCGGTTAGGCAGAAAATTGGGAGCGAGAAAAGCAAAGAAAAAGGCTCAATGGTGCAGTGGGTAACACATGAGCCCTCGGAAAAGGTAATCGCGGGTTTGAATTTGGCCTAGGGTGCACGTTTTACACGTATAGTAGCGTCATGGTGATTGCATTTCACATCATATCCTGACGTGAAAAATTATAAGAGGCTGCAAATAGAAGTTAAACTTTCTAGCATTGTCTCTTCTCCATACTCATTATAGCGCTAACTTATCACTAGAGCATCCGCTAAGGATGGGTCACGAAAACAAAGCGGTAGCGCTCCTCACAGAAGAATTTAATGCATTAGTAATGTAAAGATATGTAAAGAAGGCTTCGTATGAAAAATTTGGATTTGTCTACATGTTACGTATAATTGTAGGTTTCAAGCATCATGTTTTAGGAACTATTCGAGCTTAATTCTGGGCTTCTCATTTCATATAACTTGTCATCTTCGGTAAGAAATGTTGCCCAGGAGGAAGTGAAACAGGCGATTCTGAAGATGAGAGTTGGAGACGTGAAAAAGTCGGCTCGTGTTAGCATTTTCGCTGTAAATGAGCAACAGCCTGAGGTATGATAGTCTGGAATAAGATGAAATTGGAATAAACAGATGTAATCCAATAAAAACTATATTATCACTTCGATGGTAAAGGTGAGAAAGTTTAGAAAGCGATACTCTATTCAGATTCGAAGGCTGCTTGACTCTAAAACAATCGACGTCGCACGACAAAACCAGTGGTTTGACTTCGATGTCGTATCAGCGTTTCATTCCTCACAGAATGACTGCGATACGGTATGGACTGGGAGGAAAAGTGTTCTTCAGTAGTCCAACTAAATTATCCTTACCACATTGTTGTGACGTTTTTCGCCAGATTAGTCCTGTCACCTAAAAATGAGCTCTTCAAAAACCTTTATCCTTCCAAATCGATTTATAAGCAAGTCCAAATTATTACATAGAAGTTAAAATTGGGAAAGGTAAAACGTACCCGACTTTCTAAGTTCAAAGTAGAAATAGAGACCGTGCACTAAGGGCAATTTTACCGGAAATAGTCGATAGTCGAGCACGTCCTAGTCAGGAACGGCGATGGTACGTTTACCGCGTGTACTGTTTGTCCAATACTCATGTTATCTATAAAAGTAGCAACCAGATATACCTGCCGATACATCCATTGTTAAGTAGAATTAGACAAAAAAAATAAATGATATGGCTTGATGGAGCCATCGCTCATGTAGTGTTATGCTCATGTCTGGCATTCACGGTACTGGAAAGCGCGTAATCATGGAGATAAAGCTGCTAATTGGAATATTATGGTCACCAAAATTTCATGCGGCGCTTCTTCGGTGATAGGGTAACTTCTGAGTCACCCTCAGCATCCCTAGGGCTTGTCTGTCTGGATCACCTACCTCACCCCTAAATAGATTGCATCTAGGGCTCGACCGTGTACCTGTCATCGTAAGCGGAGATTTATGTCGTATTTGGCACAGTTTTGCGCTGTGATAACAATACTTAATATAGTTTTCGAATTCTGATTTTGTTCGACATCCCAGTTGTTTAAGCGAAGGGTCCTCATCACATAGGACTTCTTATTCACTTCTTAAGTTACTTCACAACTTCTATTCTAATCTGAAGTTGAAACAAACCTTCGTGTGATGAAGATAATGCTCGAGATCCACGCAGAAGCTTTCCAATCTATTCTTAGCAGTTCGGTTCTCATTGACATCATCCGAACTCATAATGCGGAAAAAGCGAAGAGTCCATGACACTGGAGGATTAAAATAGTCCGACAACACGATTCGGTTGTATTTCCGAAGAAGTTATTTTCTTATTCACCGTAGTATTTGAATTAGCACTCTTCCCGAAGAATCGCGTGTGACCAAGCATAATTTCTATTTCATTGGTACTTCGCTTCCGAATAACGCCTTTTTTTGGAGACCAGAGATAGATTTGCCTGTCTCTCCACCAGTTCTAATTAAACACTGTCACTGACTGTTGTGGTTGGGAAGGAAGTTTGTCTTAGCACAATGTTTTTGATGGCGGTGGCGGTTTCTAGAACGGCATCTGGAAAGGAATGTCGAACACAGTCTTTACCAGGCAAACTGACTTTGCAATGGGATAGACCACCTGCTATAGACCGTAGTTCTCACCCAGGAACACCATGCAATCACAAAAGAATGCTAACCCGTTGTGAGCATAAGTATGATAAATCGTGCTAAATACTCTACTCAAATGCGTAATGCGTCTCCATAAAACTTGGAACTGGAGTTCTTCAAAATGTTGGAGATTTGATACATGTGCTTCTACTTATACAGCTATACCATGTCTCATAAAGGGCAAAAAGGACAACGATGCCTTCATCGTGTTGTTGTTTCTCGGCGTTGTTTAGTTGTTTAAGAATGCGCCGTGCTTTCAACTCAAACATTGTAGAGGAGATTCAATGCACGTCTGGTCTATACAGTGCTCAAATGATATTTCAAGTCGATGTTTTTATCTTCCCAAAGAAATGTAGAAATACTGCGATTCCGGATGGATGGAAAGTCTGGTAAGCTGTGGCACAAGTTGGACTAACAAGTGCATGTATATTGCAGAGCAGTGTATAAACACTGCCCTACGTGCCGTCCTAGATATTTCATTTGTTGCAAAATTACTTCACGACGTGAAAATTACTAAACTAAGCGAAAGCGAACCAGGTTGAAACCATTCGAAGCCACCAGTCCACTAATTTCATTCCGTTCAGATCACTTTCTTCGTCGATCATTCCGATGTGACAATTTTTGCATCTGAACCGCATTCCATGTCTACGATACAACTATCACGACATCAAAGTGTTCCATTAATTGTGTATAGGTACTTCCGCTTACAGTATTTTCGTACAGAAATATCGTGATCCATATTTACAAAGATAAAACAAAAACAACTTGCAGCTAATTTGCATTGCCGTCACCCTGTGAAAGCGTGAAGTCGTTCGGTGATGTTCAATCACTTCCAATCCCTTGAGCGTGAGCAGCGTATTTCATTCCGTTAGGCACCGTAGAGGTGACTGGTGCATATATGGGTGTTGCTATTTTCTCGGAAATGTCTGGTACCAATTTACTCACCCACGAGGGATTGGAGACTTCGTTTACTCAGGGCCCTGGATCGAAACAACGACCATCTGAGTACTACGGGCTGCCTCTAATCTTCTGTGCTGCACGTGCCTAATAACTCTAGAATCAATAGAGTTGAGCTGTGCAACAGTACCTTCTTGCTCAAACCTGAATCATATTCATGTGAAATTTCTTGTCTGCCATCTGATCTTTCCACTTTTCAGAGCTTTATATAGCAGGAGAATTTCTCTACAGAAATTTCATTTTTTTTCAGTACACATAGTAAAATTTTAGTAATAATATGAAAGAAAATTGCACGTGTTTTTAGACATATATTCCTCAGAAACTGATTGCATATCTCATTTCAGTGTCCTCAAAGAGCCATCGAGTGTGCGACGAAAACGTGCTACGCCGTCGCGTCGAGATAGGAAGAAACAACGCAAGCAACATCATCGGAACGCTACCGAAAGTAACGTTTGTCAGAAGAAAGCCCTCTATGTGGATTTTGAGGAGATCGGTTGGCAAGAGTGGATCCTGGCGCCAAGTCAGTGAGCCGATTTCGTCACTTATTCATTCATGCATTTCCCCTTTCTTTTCTATACAAAGTCAAGTGCGTCGTGCACTGTATTGCGAGAAGTACACCGTTCTCATAGGCGAAACACGTTGCGAAAGCAGAAACGACAGTTTTTGTCGAGTCATTTCAAAGAGTATTAGGAACGCCTGGAAAAAATATTATGACATTCAAACCAAACAAATTTATCCAGCAACTGATAAGTGTTAGAAGAATAATTAGTAATTTGGTATAGTTCTACAGAACTTGGGATAGCGTAGTGGCTAGTTATGCTGTCGACCAGGAATCAAAGGTGCTGGCTCGACCCCTTCCTTAACGCTCTCTTCCAATCCACGTGAGAACTTCCTAGCCAGGATATATCCAAGATTGCAAGGAGTATTGACTCGACCAGCATTCGACGACATTCGTAGAGAACACGAAATCCTCAAACAGCAGCTGAAACAACACGCGAAGTGTTCGAAGACCATTGTGAACGATGAAAGGGAGGAAAACGAATCGAATGTAAGAGTTCGAATCCGCACATGTAGATGTGGTGATGGTTCATCTGAAATGAATAAAAATGGGTGAATGAAATTCTGTATCACCACTATCGACTCTCCAACCACTTTCACAAGGTGTTTGATTTTCTGCATAGTAGTGGAGTGGTATTTTCCTTGAATTATACACGGTCTTAAATTGGGTATAAGAACGAGCTGATATTTTATCCCGTTTCTTGAACGCATAGCAGTTCTTGGTTTGGTTACTTCAAGCAAACGTCTCTCTCATAATATGGACCAGCGACGTTCGTGAATAATTTTTTCTTGCTGTTAAGAGAAACGACGCAATACACTAGCCAGTTCATATAATGGCCCACAAGCCTTCACAAATTGCCTAGCAAACGCAGTAAACGTTCTATAAAAGTCAACAGTTTAAAACGAACGATCATAGCATAGATTTGGTTGAAATAGGAAGAATACCTAAAAGCACTGTGGAGAATTGCCAATGTTCTAGGGCATCTCGAGGTTGTTCCTGGATACCCCCAGCCTACGATATTGCCTAACCCAACACGCAATCTGTAGAGTTTATTCCCATATGGAGCACTAAGCCGCTGCAAAATATTGCTACTTACTTGCGGCCAGCCGCCTTGTCGACAGGAATAGATAAAATAAAGGAACCCACAATGGGAACTTCGGTGTTTTTCGTGTCGCTTTGACAAGCGAAGGCAGTTCCTTTGCACGACAGCGACATATGGAAGCTTTATAGGTGTGCCGTCGAATCCCTCTATAATTATTGGGATTACAAGTGATGTACTAAAAAAGAATAAACTTTCACACATCATGCCATCTGTGCCGATTCAAAGTCGATTGAACATGCTCAAATAGATAAATAACACGAAACTTTAGAGCTTTCCAATCGCCTTTTGTTATACTGAATACCGTTTACGAATCTTTTTTTCATCATCACAGTAAATATCAGAGAGCTACGAAGCCAGTCAATGCGTTGGGATTTGTCCTCATCCTCTGCCGGCACACTTGAATGCTACCAACCATGCTATTGTACAGTCGCTAACTAATTCACTTAATCCACAGGTATGACATTGAGTATTGAAAATTAGATAGCCTATGAATTTCTTGCGTTATCTGCCTTTGTTTACGTAACTCTCCTCTTGGAAAATGAATTTATATTCAGTTACCTACTTGTAAATTTGGATAGCCTCTTCTCTCTAATTCCCCTACAGCATTTTTTTCAATGTGCTTCGCTTTCCTGCAACCGTTTTCCATTGAGCTGAATGCATTCGTGTATGGGCTCAACTGTCTCTTGAGAAGTTGTCGTCTTCTCGCCTCAATGACGCCTAGAATGTTGGTAGAATTGGTTCCAGCGGGAATTCTCGGGGATAGCTCTACTAGAACATCCCCAGGTCTTCATGAAAGACAAATCTGCCCTAACTCTTGTCGAATAGAATAATACCCTGCCATAAAATAGTTATAGGCAGTAAATAAAAAGTTACACAATGTGATTTCGACAACACCTTCAGCTCCATTGGTCTCAATACATATTTTTGCTCCCGAGATCATTCTCGTTGACAGATGACTGCTAATGGCGCCATTAAGCTAAAAAACGGGCTGAGAAAAGGCAAAGCGAAACCCTCAGTGGTGCAATGGATAACATGTGGTTCTCCGGAAAGAGTAATCGCGAGATGGTCTGGCGTCTGAGTTTTGCAAGTATCAGCACTATCGTGGTTGTATTTCAGATAAACCCTTTTGTTTATACGACCTGTCACCAATTATCGTTTACATTCTAGCAACCTTTCCATTAGTTTAGTTACCTTGGATCCGCCGTTCTCGTTGGTCGCTGTGTTTGCATCTGGGTTCTCCTGCTACGTCGATGAATGCTAGGTGGCTTGATCTTTCCTGAAAAATTGGATTATCCGTGCTGCGATCTTTCCAGGTCTTCCCAAAATTCTGTCACGCCTTTTAGCAATTTTTCGACCCCAAAGAATAGGGTTTGGTTGGCTCTGGCGGATTCGAACCAGAGGTCTTGTATGTATTGCAGTCATCTCCAACTACTACATTTCCCGCGTCCATAACCATGTAGTTTGGCCTTTTATGCACATATAACCATATTCGTGGTTTCCAAATAAAATCGCAATAATGAATGCATTTACTCACTGTAACTTCAGGTGCCACCACCGTGTTGCGTACCAACCGAAACAACACACCTTTCAATACTATTTTTGGATGTCGATAATAAGTGCGTTCAGCACAGAATTGTTTTCATTTTGTTTTCTATTGACTTCTGTTCTGGTTCTTGTCCATTTTTAATTATTGCAAGTTCATCCGTTCATCTTTCACTTTTATTTTCTTGTACTATTCACCAAAACTACTATTAGTACTACTTTGTGAATATGGTTCTGTTTTGCAGAATAATCATCAAAAATTATCCTGATATGCGGGTCGAAGCTTGCGGGTGTCGCTAAGGTGTGTATATTTTATTACATAAACCCTTTTTGATACCGTATATGACATAAATCGAATAGAAGACTAAAATACCCTATGTTAATCAATCCGTTGTGGTTGCTTTTCCACCCCCACTCGTAGCATAAAAGATAAAGGATAAAGGTCTCGGCGTTGATCAATTCTTGAGGGATGCGCCATGCATTCGACTTCATTAAGTATCGTTTGGAGGTGATTGAATGCATATCTGGCCGTTACAATGGCTCGCGGTGGCCTACCGATCGTATCGAGCCAGTGCTGCTATCCTCCCAGACAAGTCTGGTACCAATTAGCCGGCCCAGGAGGGATAGAAAGCTTGGTCAGCCATGGCCGCGAAGATCTATTCCCCGTGTGTGTTGCAGGGTGCCTCTGACCATTGCGCCACACGCGCTTATGTTTATAGCATATTAGAGCCAGTTGAATACATATTTGGCCTATACGTTGACTTTCGGTTTTCTACTGATGTACCAAATCAGTGTTTTTACAATCAAACGGGCAACTCTGGTACCAGGTCGTCGGCTACGGGTGTGAATGATAGAGTTCTTGCTTAACCAATGGTGTGAGATCGAACCAAAGACCGTGTATGTATTACAGAGTATCTCTACCCACTGCGCTGCAAGTACCGTAATACGTCATATTTATAAAAATATATGATTTAAGTGTCTCATGAAATGATCGTTCTCTTGATCAGGTGGCCTATTTTTGTTTCTTGATCAGGTGGCCTATTTTTGTCTCTTGATCAGGTGGCCTATTTCTTTCATGATTGAAGTGGTCGCCTTACGGGATGTTTGTTCAGAACCCGTAACATATCGGTTTGCTTCGGAAATTATCGACAGTATCCATGATATTAAAGGATAAGGTTAGAGCTTTCGGCGTTGATCAAACCCTGAGAGATGCGCCATGGATTCGACTTCATTAATCATCGTTGCAGGTGATTGAATCTGCCCTATAAAATGAGTCACAGTAGTCCACCTATGTATCGAGTCAGTGTTGACATCCTATCAGGCAGGTCTGGTACCAATTTGCCGACCCCGGAGGGATGGAAGCTTTGGTGAGACAGGGACGCAGGATCAAACCCATGTGTATTACAGGGCACTTCTTACCACTGCGTTGCACGCTCCCCTTCCATCCATTATGTTGCAGAAATTAATCCACCCATATAATGCATGTGCTATAACTAACCTACTTTAACAGCAAATCCTGCTGCGACTAAACCAATATGATATTATATCAATATGATTTACTACCGCCGTAGAAACCAGTTATAAGGTAAAATACTTCGCTAATTGTTAGCAATTGAGGCTCCATACGCTGTTTCCATATGTAAGAGAATAACGATTTTTTTTGTTCTCAGGCTTTTCAATGTTGTCGTTAAACAGCGTTGTGGTGTGTCTAGTAGTTCGCCATGGCTCATTTTGGCTCGTCATGGCTCATCACGGCTCACTGTGGCTCTCCCGCCTTCTCTTGCCGTTCCTCTTCTATATAAAAGTTTCTCAGCCGATAACAGATCTTCTAAAGTCCATTTTATCGCCACGCTATCACATTCTGTCCCATTTCACTCACTCATGTCGTTCGGGTCCCTATATTTAATACAATTTTCGTTTCTTTTCCTATTTCTATCGTTATTCGTGTAATGAATGTGTGTTATTTCTCAACTAATTACTCTCTCCCTCTCTTTCTCCTTGTCGTTCTTCCTCTCTGTCGTCGTTTTTTTTGTCGCTTGGTGTTATTTGTGCTTATCTGATAAGCAGCTTCTTTACAGTTTACGTCTCCCACAACATGCTCACAGCATGTGTTTCCTGGAAGCCAAAGCTACAGTTCAAGTTCGCTGATCTCAAAACTCGTCAATTTTTGTTCGTTTGCTTGCTAGTTGTTTACAACTTATGTACTGTCTAATATATTCCACTATAAAATCATTACTTTCATAATATGATGGTAGCTTAATTATTCTCAAAAGTAATGTGATAATTAAACATTTGTGGGTATTTGTTATCTAGAAAAGAAAAAAGAATCCAGAGTCGAGTTGTGTTAGACAAATATGATCGACTGCGATGCTGCTCTTCTGTGTTGTTCAGTGACGTTCCCATGAGTGCTATTTGTCTCACTTTTCCTAGTGGCAAGTTTTCTCACCAATAAGAAAAAGTTGGACTACATATCGATTTGGAAGATTGTTTTTGCCGAATGGTAGAGTTTGCAAATCTTAAGTGGGAAGAAATTTGCTTAAAATTTTGAAAAATTCGAATTCAACAAAGTTTTTCAACTACTTGGTCACTAAGAAAAGTGCAAAGCTTATGGATCTACCGGTGTGATAGTTCATCGATCGATTTTACCAAACACCACGTTGTTTTTTCTTTTTCTATTCATCCCGGCTTCAGATGTTTTTGACGGCATTGCTCACAATCGTTTTATTACATTTGTCTGTATGCATTGATAAAAAAGTCCTCCATAATGCATGTCGTTATAGATGCGTTCACAGTTGCAAGAAAACCCATCGATTCAGTAGAGGGACACTTGCAGTGTAGGTGTATTCGATAGGGATCATGAATATGTGATACGAGCAGCTTCGATTAACGGAACACTTTGCTCGTATGGTCGTGATCACTAAGTGCTGTTTAACATAAGGAGAATTATCCCGTGACACATGCATTCCAGTTGATCATCAAGTAACTCGAATGCTCACCAGTAAGCTTTTATTCGCTCGTACCATACAATAGAGCGGCTCAGCGGTCTTCTGTTGCTGGAATGATACAAAGTACATCAATATCACACTTCCTAGTATGGTGCACTTTCTTGCTCTTTTTTTAGCAAAAACGTGACCATGCGCAGATTGCCCAGCTCTGCCGTCGTATAAATTTACTCCTAGCTAGGCTATCGGATTATATGTCAAGACCTTAGCTAGTTTCGCTGACTATGCTACTGTTGGAGATGAAGAACTTTTACTTGACGACAGTCAACGTCGAGAAATATTTCCTTGCTACAATGAAACAGTAAACTAGTGAAGTGTGGTGGGGATAGTCTCAGTGTACTGAGATTGTTAGTTTTCCTTGATGGATCTCTGATTCACAACTTAGAAAATATTCCTTATGTTATAAAAAGCGATTCAAAACTTGCAGAAAGCAACAGACTATTGTTACCTCACAATTTATCCACCCGAAATATGGGCGTATATGAACCAACACATGAAAAATGAAATAAGGTTTCACCTAAGGCATTCTCTACCGTACTTTCACGAAGGCTGTTGATTTAAAACGTAAAGCCTGGAAGTCGTCTGCAGTAAAATCAGTTCCATTGCTAGTCTTCAATCAGCAGCATCTTCCAAGAAATGCACAACGATATCGCTTGAAATTACAAGCAAGCTGCGGTATTTTCTTTGAAATCTGATCTGTTCGAATTTCGCTCATTCGAACAAGCGTCATCTGCTCTATGGGTAATATGTTTTGAGGAAAAATAAGCAAGTCGTCGATTTTTTCGAAATATTCAAGGGTTATATCGATTTTCAACTTTCTTAAGTCCAAAAAATTCAGTCATTCTGTAGTGCGCCCTAGTGAGCGAAGGAAAGTAGGGAAGGTAAAGAATGAGGAGTGCAGAATGAGTTCTGTTGA